CGCTCCCTCACTCACCCTCACTCGCTCACACACACACACACACACTCACTCGCTCACACACACACACACTCTCACACGCTCACTCACTCACTCTCACACTCACTCACTCGCTCCCTCTCACACACACTCACTCACACACACACACACACATACTCTCACGCTCACTCGCTCTCTCGCTCACTCACTCACTCACTCTCACTCGCTCACACACACACACACACACTCACTCGCTCACACACACACACACTCTCACACGCTCACTCACTCACTCACACTCACTCACTCGCTCCCTCTCACACACTCTCACACCTCACACACACACACTCACACACACACTCTCACACACACTCACTCACACACACACACACACACACACATACTCTCACGCTCACTCACTCACTCTCTCGCTCACTCACTCACTCTCACTCGCTCACACACACACACACACACACTCACTCGCACACACACACACACACTCTCACACGCTCACTCACTCACTCTCACACTCACTCACTCGCTCCCTCTCACACACACTCACTCGCTCACACACACACTCTCACACGCTCACTCACTCACTCTCACACTCGCTCACTCACTCACTCTCACACTCACTCACTCACTCACTCCCTCTCTCACACACACACACACACACACTCTCACTTACTCACACACACACACACACACAAACTCACTCACTCTCACACATGCGCGCACACACACACACACACACTCTCACGGTTCCTTTGGGGAGGATAGTCAACATGAAATCTAATGGACTGTTTACTTTATTAGCATGTTTCTGGTCTTGTGAATGATTCATTAGCATTCATTATTCTAAGGAGTAAAATGTGTGTAGCAGGATTTTTTTCTACAGTGATTACAGTTTTTCTTGCCCTGCCAAAATTTTCCACTGGCCCTGCCACCAAAAAAAGTTATTGTTTTTGGTGTTTTTGATCCATGTAACCTTGTGTAATACCAGCATTTTAGTTACCCATTGAAATTTCACAATTCTAGATTCTAATTTTGATACCACTGCAAAAACTGATTTAACTCAAACATCATTAAAGACAAGTAAACAGTCAGTAATAAAATTACAAGTAAATTACAAGCAATAGCACAAATAAATACAGTAGAAAATAAACAGTGTAAAATAAACAGTGGTTCAACTTTTTCAGGCAGATCTAACTCTTTTTATTCAGGTAAGAAATACTACAGAGATTGAATGAAGTAATACATGTATATGTTCTGTTGCAAAATTCTAGTTGAATTCAGATTCACACCCTAACCTCTTAATTTTCAAGAACCGATCCCACAGGAAGTGTCTGATGTGGCGTGTGTCGTTCTGTGCAGGGGTTTTGAGTGAGCGTAAGAAGGTGACTCTGGGCACTCACAGCCCATCAGTTTTATTTAGTGGCTCTCTGAGGGTTAAACCTCCACTTAGTAATGACACATTGTAAAGGCCAAATAAAACCAAAATTGGCTATTGCCATCTGAAGCATGAATATTTAGTGATTAATCAGCAGACTCAGTCGCTCCAGTGCTGTGTGTGCTTCAGTGCTCGTGTGTGTCGTTGCAGGCGGATCTGCTATCAGGAGGTGTCTCAGTGTTTCGGAGTTTTGTCCAGTAGAGTAGAAATGCAGGACACCAGCGGGACAACAGCAGCCGTGCGACCCAGCGCCAGCACACAGGTGTGTGAGTGTGTGTGTGTCTGTGTGTGTGTGTATGTGAGTGTGTGTGTGTGTCTGTCTGTGTGTGTGAGTGAGAGTGTGTCTGTGTGTGTGTGTGTGTGTGTGTGTGTGTGTGAGAGAGTGTATGTATGTGTGTGTGTGTCTGTGTTAAACACTTCAGCTTCCTCATGAAGCAGATGCACTGAGATGTGTGTATGTGTGTGAGTGTATGTGTGTGAGTTAGTGTGTCTGTGTTAAACACGTCAGCTTCCTCATGAAGCAGATGCACTGAGATGTACGAGTGTGTGTGTGTGAGTGTGAGAGAGTGTGTCTGTGTGTGAGTGTGTCTGTGTTAAACACTTCAGCTTCCTCCTCATGAAGCAGATGTACTGAGGTGTGTGTGTGTGTGTGTGTCTGTATTAAACACTTCTGCTTCCTCGTGAAGCAGATGCACTGAGATGTGTGTGTGTGTGTGTGTGTCTGTCTGTGTTAAACACTTCTGCTTCCTCCTCATGAAGCAGATGCACTGAGATGTGTGTGTGTGTGTGTGTGTGTGTGTGTGTGTGCTCGCTCAGGCGCTCTCCAGCAGCGTCAGCTCCAGTAAGCTGTTTCCCAGCAGCACTTCTCCTCACGAGACGTCGTTTGGAGAGGAGGTGGAGGTGCACAGTCTGCTGGTGGTGGATCAGCACACGTTTGAGGGTAAGTGTGAGCGCTGTCAGCTGGAGTGTGTGTGCAGGCGTGACGTCTGACCTCTCTCTCTCTCTGCAGTGCTGCATGCGCATCAGTTCCTGCAGAACGAGTATGCACTAAGTATGGTGTCCTGTAAGCTGGGCAGAGATCCTGCCATCTACTTTATTGTCGGCACGGCGATGGTGTATCCGGAGGAGGCGGAGCCTAAACAGGGCCGCATCATCGTCTTTCACTATACAGATGGTAACCGTCAGACACACCCCTGATTATTTTCCACAGTTATTAAATGTTGCTCAAGGTAGAAAGTGTTTCTTCAAATATTGTGTCTTTTTCAGTTATGAATAAAGTCCAGAGTTTACTTTGGTTTTTACATGTATGCATCCAGTTTGTGTGATGCAGATTTCGTCATCATCATTAGCACAGCTGTGTGCACACGTCTAGCGCTCGTTTCAGAACTCAAACATACTTCGGCCTTAAGAAGTCTCTTCAAGCTTTGACCATTTCACAATAAAATAAAACTACTTGATGTTCCACATACGTGTGTGTGTTGAATCATGGGGTGTTTCTGGTTTTCTGTGTTTCCAGGCAAACTGCAGACGGTGGCAGAGAAGGAGGTTAAAGGTGCGGTTTACTCCATGGTGGAGTTTAATGGTAAACTGCTAGCCAGCATCAACAGCACCGTGAGTTTCCTCCCATCATGCTGTTCAGTGTAATGGGTTTCCTGTGCGGCGCTGACGTCTGTGTCTCGACAGGTGCGTCTGTACGAGTGGACGGCAGAGAAAGAGCTGAGGACGGAGTGTAATCACTATAATAACATCATGGCCCTGTATCTGAAGACTAAAGGTGACTTCATCCTGGTGGGCGACCTGATGCGCTCCGTGCTGCTGCTGGCCTATAAACCCATGGAGGGCAGCTTCGAGGAGGTGACGGCTGCCGCCGGGAATTCTGGGATTCATGCGTCGTTTCTAGTTGTAAGAGAGCAGTTCTTAATTTAATCTCGCTGTTTTTCTTCCATTAGATTGCTCGTGATTTCAATCCCAACTGGATGAGTGCTGTAGAAATCCTGGATGATGACAACTTCCTCGGAGCGGAGAACGCTTTCAACCTGTTCGTCTGCCAGAAGGACAGGTAATGGATCGAGGATTGTTTCATGTGACTGGCAGGTTGCTGGAGGAAGGACTGGGCGTCTGAAGGATCAGTGAAATCATAGCTCAGTAGGAATCCAGCGATAATGAGTTTCGCATGAGGATGACAGATTTCACTTCCGGTTGGTAACTGGAGTTTCAAAGCAGAAAGCTGCTTGGCTTGAGCGTGACCTCTGAAGCTGTGCTTCGTGTATCACTGCACTGTTGATAACAGATAAAGGGCCTGTTTTCTTCACTGATTGATGTGATGCACCTTAAGGGCAGTGAATGATTGTTGGGTTGCGTGTGTCCTCCAGCGCGGCGACTACAGACGAGGAGCGGCAGCACCTGCAGGAGGTGGGTCTGTTCCACCTGGGAGAGTTTGTCAACGTGTTTTCACACGGATCTCTGGTGCTGCAGAATCTGGGCGAGAGCTCGACGCCGACACAGGGCTCGGTGCTGTTTGGCACAGTCAACGGCATGATCGGTGAGCTGCTTCTCCCTTCACTCTGCTGTACCTCAAACACTTTTAGAGTCACAGCCGTGAGATCGGGACGTTACTAATGTGCCTGCCTCGTGCTGACATGAGCACAGATGGGAAGTGTCTGGGTGTGTCTGTGAGGACTGATTTACAGACGTCTCCAGAAGAGGAATACATCGTGATTTAAGAGCGGTTTGTCAGGCTTGAGGTGTGGAGCCGCTTCTGCACTCATATCAGACTCATTCTGAAGAATCTAAAGCAGCTTTCATTTGTAGGATTTCCAGAGAATTAAACTCTACCTTCATATCATTACTGTGATGTTGGTTGTGTGTGTAAATGTGCGTTTGCTCTGTGTTTGAGGTTTGGTGACGTCGCTGTCGGAGGGCTGGTACAGTTTACTGCTGGATCTACAGAACCGACTCAACAAGGTCATCAAGAGCGTCGGCAAGATCGAGCACAGCTTATATCCTTCAGCAGCGGTCAGAGACGTGTGCTTGTGTGTGTGATTTAACACTCTTTTCTGACCTGTTGAAGTCCTTGACTAGTGCCACCTGGAGGTCCTTCCACACCGAGCGCAAGACTGAGCAGGCCACAGGATTCATTGACGGAGATCTGATCGAGAGCTTCTTGGATCTGGGTCGAGCTAAGATGCAGGAGGTGGTCAGCACACTGCAGGTGATCTCCTCGCATCACTGCTTTCCTGCTGCTTCATTCATGGCTACTCTGATGATGTAAACAATCGCTCCTGATGAATGCTTGCGCTCACGACTCGCGCATCGTATTATACGGTGATGTGTAGTTAAAGCGGCGCTGACCGGATGCGTCTGGGCTCATCTTGACCCGTCTCAATCAGGCGTGTTTGATTAGGAAGAGTTTAAAATGGTTTTGTCCAAAAGTGGAACATCAGGCGATTATTGAATCATTACCACAATACTGATTTCTCACTATAGACATTAAAAGTTTTTTTTTTTTTTAAAAGGGCAAAAAACAGCATCTGTACGCAAACTGACTGCCAACTGCCATTTTTGTTCATTCAGCTTAGCTTAATCGCACATAAAGGATTGTGGGATATCATAGGTGTGTTCCATGTCATAGTGGTAAAGATGGTGTTTATGAGTTATGGATGGGGAAACTCTGGATTTGAGTTTGAGAGTCACCTATAGGCAATAATATATAGGCCTAATGATTCAATATGCAGAATATGTGTCAGTTAATATAAATAAAAACAAAGCAAATACATGACATGTGCACTTAATTCCTCATTTCATAGAAGTAGAGTTAAAAGATACATGTCTATAATGCTCTAACCGAGCGACTTAAACACACCTGACGCCATAATAATGAACGTCCAGGACTTAAACACAGCAGTACATCTGCGCTGCTCATAAATCCATCAGATGAAGGCGTGTCAGGTGACAGGAAGTGATGCGGTCACTGGATTCAGACGCCTCCAGAAACAGGGCTGGGAGACACGGAGCTAAAGATGCGTTCACCAAAGGATTATGATTTTAATTGAAAAGATTATTTAAACAAAACAGCTGTTTTAATAAAAATACCGGTTACACTTTACTTGAAGGGGTGTGCATAAGACTGACATGACACCTTCATAATCATGACATGACACCTTCATAATCATGACATGACACATGTCATGAATATGAAGGTTTTTATGCATATTTATGACAACTGTCATTAAGTGTCATTCGCTCAGTTATGTCATTTCTAATGCAAAGATGACATTGTTTGAGATGTCTTTGTTATGGGCTGTGGTTAGGGGTAAGGGTAGGGTTAGGGTTAAGTCAAATAATGTCATATTTGCATTAAAAATGACATAACTGAGCGAATGACACTTAATGACAGTTGTCATAAACATGCATAAAACCTCCTTCATATTCATGACATGTGTCATGTCATGATTATGAAGGTGTCATGTCAGTCTTATGCACACCCCTTCAAGTAAAGTGTTACCAAAATACCCCTCTAATATGAGTTGTGATGCATACGATGCTTTATTTCCACACAGATGCAGGTTGAGCATCTCAAATGCTTTCCTGAATACTTGAGTGCACGTGTGTAAGCTTCATCTGTCTTCACGTTCATGTGTTCGTGTTGTAGATCGATGACGGCAGCGGGATGAAGCGCGAGGCGACGGTGGACGAGGTTATTAAAATCGTGGAGGAGCTGACGCGGATCCACTAACCGTGAGCGCCACGCATCTGTACATAACTATACATACATCAGAGCGTGTGTGTGTGTGTGTTCAGTCTCACGCTCACGCATGCACAGCCGTGCTCACCTCTTCTTCATGTGCTTGTCCTGTGAGCATCGAGGTGAAGATCACTGTCTGCTGGATGGAGGAGCCGAATCTGATTCTGCCAGCACTGATCCGCAATAGTTTTAGTGAAGCGTTTGTCATTGTGGTGTCTCTCTGTTTGGTCATTTATTTTAATAAAGTTTCCTTCAGTATTTTGTGCCCGTTGTGTTTTATCTAGTGTGTGTGTGTGTGTGGTCTTTTAATAAAAGCAGCACATTACATACAGAAGAGATGAATTCAGTCGTATTATCTCCTCTCCTGTGCAGCGCTAATGTGCGATAAACCCAGACAGGCTGATATAAGAGCTCAAATCAGAGCCGCACTGTGCATTATCCTGCATAATACATGACTGCTTACTTCATTAATAAATAAATGGACATGAAATATTGATTATTAGACGGTTCAGCCGAAAGCCATCTGATCATCACATCTGTCCTGATCCATCTGATATAATCATAGGAATATACAAGTCATTAATGCATTAAACAACTTATTGTGCTTAATGCCAGCTCTTGTGATTTAAGTTAATAAAACTTTATTTTGTGATTATTAAACCATAGGATCAGCCATTGATTTAAGTAAATGTTTTTGTCAAAATGTGTTCTGTGTGAATTAAAGTGGTCTCGTCATGGCAACAGTGTAAAATCCAAACAGGAAAGGCCTGTAATTTCACTGTAATCCAGATTTTTTTATTGTGCACTTTTATTTTATTTTTATTTATTTATTTTTATGTGAGGCCTTCTCGCCATCATTTATTTGCTATCTACAGATGGACACTTCAGTCCCGGTTTGTCAGGATGTTCAGGTTCAAAACAAGCTAAACTGACAGATTGAATTAATAAGTGATGAGAGAGTTTGAGTGTGTGTTTCATCATGTTTGAGGAAGCAGATGAGTTACACTTGGATCGGGAATCTAGTTCAGGTTTTGTGTTTCTGTCCTGTGGCCCCTCAGGACCCTCAGGTCTCTAATAAGGAGCAGAGGAGCTGAATCAGGTGTGTTTAATTGGGAAGAATCATTAGGGAAATGTGTGCTGTTGGCGTTTCTCCAGGAGCAGGGTTGAGAAACAGATCTAGTGTAATGTCAAGGCATTCAGTAATTAGACGTGCTGCTGCCATGGTTTCTGCTCCTCTGCAGACCGCTGTCTCTCTCTCTTTGTGTTTGTGGTCTATGAATGTGAAAGAAGATCACTCTCCTCATCATCATCCTGCAGAACACAACCAACCTCCATGAAATACCTGCAGTGATAACTTCTGTTAGTTATTTTGACCCAGAGCGTTGAACACTTTGGAAATCGTGATGGTCTTGGGAAAGATCTGGGAAATGTCTTCGGTTCAGCACGGACCAGCCATGAGTATGATGATGGACTGCTGTTCTGTCAAGCAAGATGAGGCACAAAACCTCTGATTCCTGCCATCATACCACTGATCTATAATAGAGAACAAACACTATATATATATATATATATATAGATCAGTGAGCTTCAGACCAGGTAAATACATGAACCTCATTATAACATTGAAAATATTTATAACCTGCATCGTTGCTCAAGAAGCTATTATAACGTTCAGTTTGTTAATCATGGCTGCTGATGTTCTGGTATACGTTTATGCAGGATAGTTAATGCATTACAGTACTGCGTTACTGCATAAAAAACTAACAAATTGTGTTACTTGGTTACTTTCTGTGGAGAGTAATGCATTGCGTTACTTTCTTACACCTGAGCTGGGCTTGCTTATTTAATTTTCATAACAGAAAAACAAAACCAAAAACATTATATTTTTGGCAGCTGTAAAGGCCCATTCATATAAAAAAATGTAATGAATAAGTCTCAGTCACTCCCAATTTCTCTCAACACAGAGACAGGAGAGCTGTCAGTGAATAAATGGGAAAACATATCTTGCATTACTTATTTAAGAAAGTAACTGATATTTTCTTGTAAATTTAAAAGTAATGCATTACTTCACAGTTACTTGAAGGAGTAATCTGATTATGTATTTGGCGCTAGCCCTAACCCTGAGGACCGCTCTTCTTCTTCAGAGCTGTATTGAGGATTCATGAACGAAGTGGACACGATTATCTGCAAGAAACAGCTCCATCCTGATTCCAGTGTGAATGAGAACACGCACACCTTCAGCAAGAAAAGGTACCTGGGCTTCATTTTATTAGTCAGTAGTCATGAATTGTGATCATCTAAACACCTTTAGGATATTCCACTGTTAACAAACACAAACATCCAACTCTCCCAGTTCTGTTGATCCAAACATAAAGATGCGTCTGTCTGAGTTCTAAACCTCATTAGCTGATTTAGTGATTAGAGAGGTGCTTTTATAAGTAGATGCTTAACCTCATGCATTTGTCATTGACTGATAGCTCTTTATTCATTTGATGATCCTGAAAGAATGAAGCTTCATCTCCACTGGAGTCCTTCTGAAAGAGTTTTCCAGGTATGTTCACGACCTCTTTCACTTTGTTTCATCATTATGATCAGGTTAGATTTTCTGAAAATAAACTGATTATAATACATTTTTAAAGAGGATCATTGGGTGTTATTTGTATGCCAGAGACAGAATCACCAGGAAAAAGTAAACGGAGGAGAATGAATCTGTTTGTCCATGCAGTGAATTATTGTGACTCTGATGTTTGTCGACTGGCCGCAGACCCGGCAGAAGCAGTCCTGAACGAGACGAGACGTCTGTCCTGAAACCTTAATTCACAAATGGCAGCTTGTGACTGTAAATATTCTGACTGTAAGTAAACGAAGCTCCGCCTTGATGCAGTGATTGACAAGTCACGCTGGGTTCTCTAAATCACTGAATTCTGTTACATTCTTCCTGAAATATTCATGAAAAGCCACTTCAATTATGAGTGTAAATGCATTTGAACAACAGTTTAGCTGTCCTTACTGCGTTCACAAATGAAATCTATCGTAACACATTCAGTTTTATATTTAATGTTAGCAGTAGTGTTGGAAATGCAAATCACAAATGAATTTGATTCATCCAAATTTAGTACATATTTATTCCCATTATTTCCCATAGGGTTAGGAAATGTAAATTCAAATACAGGAATACATTGGCATTTTACATTTTTCATCTCAAATTGAATTCAGCTAAACGCTTCCATCATTTTCAAGCAACATATTTCATAAAAAGAAGCTTGTTGGGTTCAAAATGATAAAACTATACAAATAGTGTTCAAAATGAAGATATTTGAGACTCGACCGTGAGTTTGTGGTGGATCAGTTTGTGTGGGTGTTGTATTCTGTGTTGTGGCACAGACATCAGTTCTTCAGGCCACAGTCGATGCAATAACGTTAAAAACTGTGCTTTTGCTCTTTTACTGAATCGGCTCTGCTGAACAGACTTCTGCTGCTTTCTACATACTGCAAGTACTTCATTTGCTCAACTAAAATGTCTGTTTTAGTACTTTTTGCTTTAAAGATGTCAAATAAGTCATATATACAAAAATGTGATCTAAATATCTTACCTTTTAAATCTATTGAGAATTTGCTCTGAATAAATATAAACAGCGGTTATTCATTTCATACGTATTAATGAAATTATACAAATATAAAATTATGACATTAGTTACTGGTGTCCCTCTTTAAAATTGCTATATTTTCTTCACAAATGGACAAAACAGAAAAAAAAGAAACCATCCATTAAATATTCACAAAGAGCCATTTTCATTCTTTCAGTTGATCTGGATTATAAAATCATGTTGCAAATAGCAATGTGTGAGCAAAAGGTTGTGAGTGATGGCTACCGCGATGAAGAAGCAGAGATGCAGGTGTGTTTGGTCCGGTTCTGCTCTCGGCCGCGTCTCTATGCGTAGAACGTCTCCACACACACACAGACACACAGACAGACACACACACACACGCACACACAGACAGACAGACACACACAGAGACACACACACACACACACACCCAGACAGAGACAGACACACAGACAGACACACACACACACACACACACACACACACACACAGACAGACAGACAGACACACACAGAGACACACAAACACGCACACACCATCGTCACATGTCCTTCCTTCAAGACACTCAATCATATCTTACAGTGCTACACCTCTGGTTCTTGGGAAATAATCATAACTACAGACAGAAATGCAGTGACGTACATCGGTTTGGACGATGCTCCAGGCGTTGGTCAGGCCGATGTTTCCTTCAGTCCCGAAGAGCTGCAGGCCTTTCTTCAGGTCGCTTTGAGCATACAGATCAATCTAGAACACAACACGGCGTGAAGAAAACCTTATTCATTCATTATAATGACATTAATCCATGATTATCATATTCTGAAGCATATGGTTAGGGTTGAACTGGTTTATTTTCACTGTGTATAGTACAAAACTTGATTTTCTTCATCTGTATTTTTTTTCCACAAAACATTTCTTAAAAACTATTTGCCAGTGGGCAAGACAAATAAACGTCATGATATATCCTCTGAAAACATGTTATCAAGTAAATGTATATTGTTTTCAGGATTTTTTTAATTAACTTATTTATTCTGGAAAACAAGACAAAAATGCTGATTGAGATTTTGTTTCACGTAAGGACTAATAAAAGGGTTTTAATGCATACCTGCCAGCCAACCAGAACCAAGTATTCAGAGAGACCATGGTATAACGGTCTATAAACACCTTGTTCGCGTGTGAAATGAATAACAGCATGTTGTTTCAGCACATTTGAGCTGCAGGTTTAGTCTGTGGAGTCTGATTTAAGGCCCTGTTTTTCATTCTTGTGTAATGTGCTACGATCCTGCTCTACGTTGTTAGGGTTAGGCCATGTGGTCAATCAGTCTCTATTGCATTTATGAAATTTACTGAAGTCACACCTGAAGGGAGTCAAAAGAAAGCCATCCACAGAGGATTGTGTTTCTTTCTCCAGACAGGATTTGAGTGCATGCATGCGCTGAACCCAGAGCCGTCATTGGAAACGTAAATGTGCATTAAATAAGCATCGCGGCAGAGTTTCACGCCTCCTTCCAGGTCTCATGACAGACTGCGGCACCATTACAAACACGTGTCTATATCATCTATACCAGCTCCTCCATTATTCCCTGTGTTCCGTCTGCAAATGCTGGCACTTCACAACCTTCCTCATAGATGTAATACAGTAATGCATCATAAATAATTAATATCAGTAAAGAGGAAGAAGCAGGGAGACAATAAGGAGGTCAAAGGAGGTCGTTTCTAATCATCTGTGTAGAACAGAATCAGGGAACGCAAGAAGAAAACTATACACAGAATTACACAATTTCCACCTTATATTGCCAGTTTGTCAGTGTAATCTCTCCCTTTAGATCTGAGCGGATCATCATCAGCGGCGAGCTTCATGTTCTGCTGATGTGTGTAAATCACTTTATTCCTCCAGCTCACTTCAGTTAGAAGATGACAGTGACACACACTGAATAAAGGCCATTTATAATGACTACAGACTAACCCTAAACGACAAATGCTTCGCATTCTTATAGATTATTTCCAAAATAACATTATTGTTGAATTATTGATTTTTTTTCTTTATATGTTTCTTTAGCCCAAATCACTGAAAACTGCATTTTTCAGGCTGGACTAGATCTCCATCCCTATACAGCCTCCATATGAGAGCTGTGAGATACTAGCAGTCGTCTCGTCATCCTTACAATGTCTCTGCATTTGTCCAGTGCAGCTTTAGTAACTCATCAACACACACACACACACTCTCTCTCTCTCTCGCTCTCTCACACGCACTCACTCACTCACTCACTCACTCACTCACACACTCACTC